TGTAATTTCAAATGTTATTTTCACGATGGCCCGATTAACGAGAGCGAATATCGGTGTTGATGATGCGTGGTTGGAGAATGAAAGAACTCACGATGAAGTTACAGTTTTGTTTAATGAAACTTTTCGAATCGGACAACCGGGCATAGTAAGATCTACCGTTGCTAAGACAATTCAACGATTTAATGAAACAGGTTCCGTAAAGGATAAGCCAAAAGTAGGAAATACGAATTATCACAATTGTTTCGTAACTGGGAGTGTTTTTAAGAGAATGGGGCTCATATGCAGTGTTTTGTAAACGTTTCGACATCAGCTACAAGAATCTGTAACAAAAACTGACGAGTTCCATTTGAAATTTTTTACGTTATTTGTATGCAGCTCGTAAGGGTCATTTCAAGGTCACGCCGTCTATGCCACATAATACATCTTTTCATACCATAAAAATTATGTCTAAGACATTTTGTCGAAAAATGAATAGTTTCGGAAATAATTGTTTGCTTCCATACTTTTTCCCCACCCTGTATACATATATGGTGTATATATATATATATATATATATATATATATATATATATATTATATATATAATCTTGTATTATCTCATTTACCATACAGGGTGATTCTAAATAACCTTATATTTTTGCAAAAACATAATTTTGATCGAATTCTAAGACGATGTTTCCTTTGGCAAAATTTCGTGCAGAGCATAGTTTTTCAATTATTAAGAGAAATATTTTACTTATTACGGGTCGGATACAAGAGGCAAGCAAGGGCGGCGCAACTGACCGTCAGACGCGGGCGTTCACGCGGGGCGCCTTCGGCGATCAGTTGGTCACTATACTATGCACGGACATACATGGGAGTACATACATTCTCTCTCTCTCTCTCTCTCTCTCTCTCTCTCTCTTTCTCTCTCTCTCTCTCTCTCTTTCATTTGCTCATTTACCCGTAGTTTTTTTTTTACGAGAGGGGAAAATGCATTTTATGCATACTCACCGGTCGTTCTCACCGGTGAGTTATGTGGGACACGAGGACCAAGTCTAATTACTCCCTACTCACTAAAAACCCCTCTCTTTTTACGAATTTTCTCTGGGACACTATCTGACTTCCCAAGATATGTTTTGACACAACGCCAAAGAATAATTATTGTTATTCGATGACTTCTGCTAATTATTGCTGTAATTTCTTGAGAAATAAATATTCCGATAGATCGCACTTTCACTCAAATTTAACGTAGATATCACACGTTACAAAAAACAGAGACATTCACACTAAATAATTAATCGAAAATTTTTCTTTTTATAAACTGTACTCTTTTGTAAACTTCAACGTAACCACATTTATTCACTCATTCGATAAAACGAGAAGTGCGTGCGTGCGTGCGTGCGTGCGTGCTCGTTTATATGTATGTGTTCATAACTCTTGTATCTTTAAATGTATATTTATTTGTTTATTTATCCTATTAAAAAGAGTTATAACTATGCAGATGTTATAACTATACAGTATTATTACGTGTACATTATTATTTAAATGTAATATAATTAAAAATGTAGGATTATTTTATGCGTTATTAAAAAGAAATTTCTATGAAAATTTTCAATTTCATTAGGAAACTAAAAAATGGTTTTATTATAGCTTACAACACTTGTAACTATGTATATAAAACGCCATCGCAAATTTTATTATCGAAATGTTAGATTTTATATTTAGTTTAATTTGCATAACAATAAAATATTCATTATTCATTAATTAATTTTCGTAATAAAGAAAAATTGTAAGTTAATTATTTATTTGTATTTGTTTGAATAATAAACCTTCCTCTTTCCTATACTTTTTTATATCTATCAATTTTTTCGGATTTACTAATACAAGTGATTAAGAATTATTAAAACATCATAGGAGGTTTAATGGAACAGCGTCAATGTATCTTTAGCGATTTGAAAGATGGAAATAAAATCGCCATCATAAAAAAATAAGAAGTAATAATGCAAAATGTTATATGATTATGTTTATAATTTATGTTTATAAGTAATAATTTATTTTCATAAGTAAAGGAATATATTTTAATTTATATTTGCAATTTTAATAAATTTGATATTAAAAGTTTGTTAAATTTGCTATTTAAAGTTTCTCGTAATAAAAAAATTTTGTGAATTTTTCAAACAATTATATTAGTGTACAAATTTAATATTTTAAAGATATAAAAATACAAAAATATTCACTAGTCAAATATTTTCAAAATTAAAATATTTTTCTTTTATAACTACCTTTCTTAATTGTTTTTAATTAAAGAATGAAAATCATTTTGAATTTTTTTTATTATGTTTTAGAGATATGATTATAAGATTTAAAAATGAATTAGTTTATATAATTATAACAATGTATATAATACCTAAATGTATAAAATGCCTCTTTTTACATTTACAACAAACATTCAATTTCTTTTATGTTTAAGAAGTTATGAAAATTAATTTTATATAATTTAACAATTGTTAAAAATAATAAATTAAAAATAATAATTTTGAATATTTTTTTACACATTTATGTATATATGAAAAATTGCTGCACATAAATATATATTTAAATTTTAAAAAAATTTAATTAAATTGTGTGTTACGGATGCGCACACTTAAATATGTGTATAAAATTCATTTATTAAAATAACGTAAACTTTTAGTTAAAAAATTATAAATTCCATAATTGCTCACCAATAACATTATTAATAATATAATACAATATACATGTATGTTGAAAATTACCCTAGCAACACACATGTCCAAAAGACGTCCATAGAATATCTAGAGCACAGTCAAAAAATATTTTATGTCTTCTGGATGTCTTCTCGATGACATCTCCGGATGTCTCCGGCCTCCGGACATCTTTTAGACATGTATGTTGTTAGGGTACTTAAACACATACTTATTTTTTTCGAGTTATTAATTTATCATATATCATTATTAAATATAAAATTCGACGGAATATTAAACGTGTAAAAGCTAGTACTAATTCTGAGACAAAGAAGCAACAAAGTCTGGATTTTATCTGAATATTGATAGATTATTTAGCCTTCAATGTTTTGTCATAGTAAAATTTCTTACATGTTACAATAATATTGAATATGTAATAATATGAATGTGTTACTTACTTAAAAGATATTAAACAAAAGCAAATTGAATTATTTTTCACTATAGCTAGCAAACACATTTCTATGGTATTTATTAATACAGCCATGTATTTTGTGCAATAATAATAAAAATATATGAATATATGAATTCAAATACTATACTAGAACAAATATAATGACAAAAAATTATATAGAAAAACCGATTTATAGTAAATTAGATAATGTATAATATTAACATTGGTGCTAGTGTTATACTTAACTAGAATAATTTGACTGCAGAAAATTATGATCAATAAATCACATATTCATTGAAAAATAACTAAATTAGAAAATGATAATTATTTCATTGTCGATAATAAATGTACATTTATTTTTTGCATTTTTGCAACTTTTAACAACTGAGATAATACATGGAGAATATTTATCAAGGATACTGTATAAGCTATTTTAATTAATGTATATCTATGATTTCTATGATTTCTACTGACATAAACAATGTACTGAATTTTTATACATTCACATACATCTAAGATGTACACTGAATACATACACAAGTACACACAACAAACATACCTTAATAAAATATCATAATTACAGATTTGACATTATTTATTTTCAAAATAATTAACAATTTCGCACAAGTGCAGGGAGAGACAATTCTACATGATATGACATTTTCATTCCTATATGTTCTATCATACATATTTTATAATAATTTTTTATGATATGATATCCAATGTAGTAAATATATATAATAGTACACATTTCGTGTGTGACCGCAAAATTTAATAAAATTTATATAAAAATTGTACAACAAAAACAGTTCTAAATATACATATACATTATATTTTCAAATTTAGGTATTCAACGTTCGCTGATCATCGCATTTCTATCGTTACTTCCCAATTAGCATTGAAGGCACTTGTAGATACTTGTAGTATTACATCGGTCAATTAAACCGAAGACATATTTTAATACTTGTTATCATAAGTTTTTTTATATAAGATAATCATGAAAGACATTCGATCTAGAAACACACGCGCATATGATTATATCTATTGTTTCTCCTCTTAATTGTTATAATTATCTCTAAATTTTATCTGCTCTTTATATATCTTCTAATATCTGTTCTAATATTGGCTCCTTCCTAGAGATAGGCTGTCGAAATAAATTCAAATTATTTTCCCAAGTCTTGTTATTTTTATTGTTTAATGGACTAACAATTACTTAACTTTATTTCTCCCATTTTATCACTGTGTACATCAGTGTACGTCATTAAGCTTAACTATGAATAAAATAACGCTTTATTGGCACACTTTGTATAATGAAATTGATGTACAAAATATATGTATATATATATATATATATATATATAGTAAAAATATATCTATATACAATAATTTAAAATACATAATTTTTTCAATAAATATCTTGCATACATCAGAGATTGAAATTTATCAATCATATGTTGTATGATCGATATATTGTGTCTTCATATTTCATTCGATAAAGTATCTTAATTCTTAATGTCTAATTTCTAACTTAAGTTATATAAACCTTTGAGGTACTTAACGATGTAAATCGCTATTTTTAAAAATAATAACTTATTTCAGTGGCACTTTTCAAATGTACGTAGTTAAAAAAGGCACTTTGAATTCTTATATCACAACTATACAAATTTTATTATATATAAATACTATAAATTCCATTTTTTTAAAGATAGCATGAATTTTATCGATATCACTTATATTAAGCCAAAATTTGATTTTTAATTAATATTATTTCATGTGCTATACATCAAACGTCAAATATTCCATGTATATTTGAGTTTCTTAAAAAAAACATAAGTTTTAAATTAAATATAATTCATGTTTAATGTAATATCAAGGAGCAAATTATAACACTTTTTTTATTGAATAATAATGGAATAATGAATAATAATGGAATTAAATTCGTATTTCTTATAAGTATACAGTAGGTTATTGGATCATTTGCAAATATCTATTTTCTTCCAGCAAAGAACTAAGCGAAGACGTCATGTCATTGACAACCATATTAGCACTAGCTGGTAAAGGTTGCGGTAAAGATATAGGATGCGTCGAACTGGAGACATTGGTTTCGTGAGTCTGCGCATTGCCGGACCAATTCTTACATTGTTGAACGTACTCCAATGTCCTGCGATAAGAATCCTGTCTCATGCCTTGAGGCGGCTTCACCGGCGAGCCCTGCTGCGATTGACTAATATCCCTGCACTGTATCTCCGGCAATGATCCGCCATGTTGATCGTGATAACATTGATTTACGTAAGACCACGGACAATTACAATTGTACTGTTGATGAGCCGGAAGATTACTTGAGCGCGCTTGACAATTATGTGCACAGGTCTGTTGTTGTTGTTGCTGTTGCATTCTACAATTAGTCTGCTGAGTATTGCAAAGCTGTGGTGATGTTCTTTTCGAAATACCACTGTCATTGATCTGACGATGCACGCCATTAGGATGAACGCAATTGGCGATTTGCAAACAGGGTGTCGATTGTTGAGGCTGCTGGCAGTTTTGAAGATTTGTAGTGAGTGTATTTATCGGTTTGCTTTGATTTGAAAGATTTAACTGAGAACAATGCGGCGACATTGGACCACATTGATTAGACACCGGAGATTGTTGCGCAGAGTGCATGTTGGGTATCTGACTATTAGGCGTTACCATAGGCCTCGCGCACTGACCGGAAGACTGCGTACACTGCGTGTTCGGATGGAAAATGGTCGAATTGGATATAGGTGCGGTCGGCTGCGCGCAATGTGGCGACAATTGTTGACAGTTGTTAGCTGTTAATCGTATTTGCATCGCGTGATTAGATGATACGCAAGTCTGATTGGAATGATGATTGACTTGACTGGCGGCAGTGCCGGTGCAGTTTGCGTTAATTTGACCAGTGCAACCATAATTTGGATAGTAAGCATGATGTGTATGATTCTGGACACAATTTCTGGTGAGTTGAGCGGAGTTTTGGGACAAGTTTTGCGGTGCGTGCTGCGGCGCCAATGCGCCAGCCGCGGGAGACGTTAGTGGTTGATCACTCAAATGAGTGGAAGTATAATGAGAACTCGGTGACATAACCTGCGTCGTGGCTGGACTTGCTTGACCTCCAGTAACCTGGGATCCGTAATTCGGTGGCGGACAATACTGCGACGAAGGTTGAGTCGTACGTGAGTTCGGACATTGGCCATAAGATGCAGAAGAATTCGAATAGTTCGGACAAGATTGCTGTGCGACTTGCTGAGTGGGATAACAATTTTGTTGATGTGATTGATTGTAATTACACATGGGTTGCATCTGTCGTTGATAATGCAAAATATTCGTGCATATCGGCGATTGACAAATAGGTAGCGGGCTGCTACGATAACTTTGATTTCCACCCGCTTGAACCTATAAAGCAATAATTTTAAGGTTAAAAAAAATCAATGTTAGAGAAATTATATGAATCTGAATAGATAAGAAATACGCTAACATGATTACCTGATTTAAATACTGCATCATTTCATCGGGAATAACCAATTTGTTTTCTACCATTTCACCTTCACCCATCTCGTCCAGGATCACCTCTTGATTGGGATGAAGCTCAGGCTGCAATTCAGGCAATTGTGCCGATCTTGGTCTGGGAGGAATCAGAGGGGAAGTCCTTTGGGCCTGATTACTGCGAATAGGTTCAGACATTCGTCGATCATTCGACGGTTGCGTACAATGACCGCTCGGATTGTTCCAGTCGCCTGGTATTGCCTGAATATTCTGCGCATACATATCATATCGTTTAAAATTGCTCTCCTAGTATTTGTGCATAACCTCATAACATAAAGCATTACCTGAAGAGACATATTTTGCGTTTGAACGACGAGATTACTCGTCGAGTAAGGTCCTTGAAGATGATTCGGTGGATTGAGTCTGCCGGAAGTAGTACTCATCTGACTACTTCTTCTAGATGTACCAGGACTGATCGGATCGTAAAAACTTTCAGGTCCCACAGGACCCATTCTTAAAGCACTAACAGCACTTGCTTGGCTACTCCTTCTACTACCGAAATCTGTAGATTTCATACTACCGTAATAAGTGCTGACAGTACTACTGCTATCTCTCCGCGGCTCACCGAGTGGTTGCAATCTTAACTGGAGATCGGACAGACTCGTCTGCCGTGTCTGGCCACCATTGCCCTCCATTTTCAAATCGGTGATTCTTCGATTGAGATCGCCGATATTACCCTGAAGTGCGACACCGCGAATCCCTCGCACATTTGCTACGCCAATTGGCATATTTGGCATAGCTTTAGCGTTCAATCTTCCTTTCAGACGATTTCTCGACGCAGGCGCTGGCACTTGTTGCTGCTGTGATTCCATTCCACCTGCGACCTGCAAACAATCGTAACGTCATCCGAGAGAACAAATAACTTTAAGGAAAGGAGGGATATCAATAAGGCCGTTTTTTGGTCCACGTTAGAATAACTCCAAACTGTGGCATTTTCTTCCTGCCGATGTATCTCACAATCTCCTAGAACCGTTTGCTGTCCGAGTAATTAGAGGCTGAGAATGGGCAACTTGAAGTCTCAAAAATCACATAGTGGGGGTGTTTCACATAGTGGTAGAGCCGGTCTCATTTCAGCATGTCATTGTTGAACTTCCATTACTATATTTTCTCAAAAACTACTAGAGTATGTGCTGCTTTAAATACGAAAAAGAGCCCATCTGACCTTCATGCATTCAAGATAGAATCAAGCCTGGTATTAAACGGATTGTCAATACTGAATCATGAAATAGCATCCCTTGCGATGAATCGGACGATACTACTATAAGCCCAAACTTGCTTTTAAGGGATTAGATCATTTTGCGAATGCAATATATATTCGAAATCATATATTGTGAAAAAATATTTGAGACCAGCACTCATCATGTGAAAAATCCCATTGATTTTTGAGATTTCAAGTTGCCCGTTCTCAGTCTCTAATTGCTCGGAGAGCAAACGGTTCTAGGAGGTTGTAAGATACATCGGCAGGAAGAAAATGCCACAATTTGGAACGACGTGAGCCAAAAAACGGCCTTATTGACACCCTTTCTTTATCCTTCTTTATCTTAAAAAAAAACCTTAAAACTTAGAGAGCATGATTTAGAAAGCAATCCGAAAGACTCACCATGGCACGTAGTGCTACAGGAAGATCGGCGATATCTAAATCATCCGGTTCTTCGTTCCACGGCTCTTCGGCAAGAGCGATTCCATCGCCGGTAAGAGCACCTATTCCAGCGACCTCGTCGTTACAACCGCCTACCAATGGGCTGCCCTGTTGCTGCATCATACTAGGCGGACTATTGGCTTCACTTTCGGACTTGACGCTTGGACTTGAGAGGCTAGGAGTTTTTGGATGAAGATCTTCGCTTCTACTAGGACTGTGACCGCCTGTACCTGCCTCGTCGCTACCACCGCCATCACCACCGCCACCTTTGTGTTTCTTATTTGCGTAGAACTCGGCGCCATGAACTGTCTTGACATGCTTTCGCAGAGACGACGGATCCGTGTACCTCTTTGTGCAACCAGGAGCTTTGCAGACGTACGGTTTCTGACAAGCAAGAATTTCGATAATGCGATTAAATAGAATTGTCTAGGCAATGATTGTAGATATCGAAAGACAATCTGAAGTATCTGTCGACTATTGATATATAAAATAACATACTAACCAGCATTTATATCTCTCTTATACAAATTTTATTCTGTTTAAATCTCCTTTCTTTCGGTATGAGCAGCTGAAGAGGATAAGAAAATGATACTTACCTCATTGGAGTGCGTTCTGTTTTGATGCTTCGCTCTGTCGCTGGCATTACTGAAAGCTTTGCTGCAGCCTGGATATTCGCAAGTATACGGTTTCTCGCCCGTATGAGACCTGAGATGAGTCTTGAGATTTTCCAATCGCGAATAAGCTTTGAAACAACCCTCAAACTGTTCAAAAAAACATTTAATTAATTGCATTAACGAGAAGAATTATTGTGGCATTAAGATTTTATCTTAAAAAATTATAACTTTTGAACATCAAATAACTAGTTTAAACGTCGGCGTACAAAAACAAATATATAAAGAAAAACAATTTTCTTCAGAAATCGTTGTTTTATAATTGAAAATTAAAATGACTCAATCTTTTATTTTAGTCTAATTATTATATTCGCATTTTTATATTACATTTTCATATGAGAGATGCATCGTAAACACGTATCCAGATTAACCGCGACTCACGTACCTGAATTCAAAACATCAGTCATACGGTTCTATAAATACCGTATGTTATATAGATTGCACGTATTCTATATTAACTATAAAAAAATAAATTGCATAAATATGTATGCATATGTGCATGGAAAAGTTGACTCATTATTCATCTAAAATGAAGAAAATAACAATATGGCGTCCTATACATTATCCATTTAATTGGTTAATTTCTTTATGCATATGCATTATGCGTCCATACAAATCTGTCTGGATAAGCCCTAAAGAGACTCGATCATCAAGATTCAAAGAAAAGTCTATTTATTTATTTTGAGAATATAATGACACAATGTAATAAGACAGCTGTTATATCTTATTGTTAGAGAAAGAAAAATATCTCGGTCTCTTCCATGAAGTAACCTAGTCAGCAAAGTCTGTTCAAATAGATTTTGTCAATTTCTGCTACAAATTTTTATCAACAGTAAGATTGCAGATTGTATAAAAAATTTGTTTTATCAAATAATGATAACAGAATGTCAGCAGAAATGTTACAAAATCTGTTGACATAATTTGATAGCAGAAACTGAACAGGATTTGTTTAAAATTATCATAGCAGATTAGTTGCAGAAATCGAGCAAAATCTGCACAACAGTTTGAGATCAGGTTAGTTGCAGAAATCGAGCAAAATCTGAGTAATGCACTTTAATGTCAGATTGTTCGCAGAAATCGAACAGAAGTTGTATAAAATGATTATAGAAGATTGGTGACAGAAACAGAGCAGGACTTGTACAAAACAGTTTGTTGTCAGATTGATTGCAGAAACCGAGCAGGATCTGCGCAGTGAATTTGATATCAAATTCACGATAGATATCGAGTAGAGCCTGCTGATATAACAGCAGATTGATGACAGAAATTGAACAGGATCTATGCGACGCAATTTGACAACAGATTGTCGTCAGAAACCGAGCAGGATCTGCGCAATGAAATTTAATGTCAAATTATGGGCAGAAATCGAGTAAAGCCTGCAGATATAACTGACGGCAGATTGATAGCAGAAATTTAACAGGATCTGTGAAGTGCAATTTGATAGCAAATTGATAACAAAAATTGAGCAGGATCTGCGCATACAATCTCTGATAGCAGATTGACGGCAGAAACGGAATAGAGTTTGCATGATTCAATAGTTCCTTCACTTACCGCTACGTGAGCTGTACTTTCTCGTAATCTCTGTCAGAAATATATATAAAGTCGCGAATATGAATAAAAGACTAAAAATATAATAATTATCATTTTAATTTCTATCACTTTAATTTTTGATATCTGATACAAGCAGATGAGATTCAAAATATTAAACTGATTGGAATGAATATGATAAATGGAAAATTATTCATGTACTGCCTATTTGAGGCACAAAGCAAGAATTTAATTCTAAATAAATTACATCTCAAGTTTTACAAGTTACATTTACTTTTATCATTTATTTTATTATTAATTTAATTAAATTGAATTAATCCTTCACTATATGAGATATAGCTACGATATAACATTAACTTATATTACGATATAATATATGACATATATGTAATTTTAGAAGAAAATTGTAATTAACTTGCCGATAATATTGTTATTTAGCACTTGTAATAATCAATTTTGTTGCATTTATATAACATTAATAAAAGTAAGCGCAAATCTTGTGCAGTTTCTGCTGTCAATTTGCCATCAGGTTGCATGCGCAGATTCTGCTCGGTTTCTGCTGACAATCTAACATCAAATTGCACGCACAAATCCTGCTCGATTTCTGCCGACAGTTTGTTGACAGGTTATGTTTTACAGACTCTATCATCAAAACAAAAGCTTAATGCGGACACAGATGGCTGCGATTCTGATGTGGAATTCTGATCGAATTTGCTGCCAATCTGCTGCCAATCTGCTAACATTTTGCTTATTGAGAAGAGTCCCCTTACTCTGACGATGTAACTACATAGAAAGTGGCAATGAAAAGTGTTCCGTGAGCCAGGTTCGTCAAATGGAATAGCTTAAAACATTTTGTCGCCATCTTGAAATTGTAAATGGCAGATGAATAGTGACATAAAAATGTTAAAAATTATTATTGTTAAAAATTATTTATGTTAATATTTGGATACATTTAGAAAATATACATTCTGTCAAAAAAGTATCGGGAATTGTCGATTTAAACTGCCCGCGCTAGTCGAAGGTATGAAAATTTTTTTTCCCAGATTAGTACAACTGTCCTTAATTATGATGCCAAGTTTGAGTGGAATCTGTCAACCAGTGTGTTTACAACAGCTAGTTAAGTTAGTCGATGTCAGTAGTGCGTGCCGATTTTTACAATGAGTGAAAATATTGAACAAAGAATTTGTCTCAAATTTTGTGTTGTGAACGAAATTTCGTGTGCTGATGCATTGAAGATGTTGCAGAAGGCTTATGGTGATTCAGTACTATCAAAAACCCGTGCATATGAATGGTACAAAGCCTTCAAGGAGAGTCGAGAAGTCGTCGAAGATTTGCCTCGTTCTGGATGCCCGTCGACAAGTTTGACCGAAAATAACATCGAAAAAGTAAAGGAAATTGTATTCGAAGACCGTCATTCCAGCTTGAGAAAGGTAGCACACGAACTTAACATGTCCCATGAGTCCGTTCTTCGATTTTGGTCGATAATTTGGGCATGAGACGTGCGCCGTCTCATCGAGCTACGATTGTGACCGATTTTCTCGTTAAAAACTCAACAAATGTACTTGAACAACCACCGTATTCGCCAGATTTAGCACCGTGTGACTTCTTTCTCTTCCCAAAACTGAAATTGCCGCTTCGGGATACCCGTTTTGAAACCATAAAACAAAAATCGGCGCGTGAACTGAAGGCCATCCCGGAAAGCGCCTATAAGAATATTTCGAAGATTGGAAAAAACGATGACATACATGCGTTGCTTCGAATGGAGCCTACTTTGAAGGCGACCCAATAAATTTTGATGAATAAATGAAATATGTGTGTTTTATTTAACAATTCCCGGTACTTTCTTGACAGAATGTACTTATTCTAATTATTAATGCCATAAAAGATATCGCGTAGCTAAATTTATGTCTATTAATTTATTCGACATGTTAACAATTTTAAGTTATAAAATTAAAAGTTTTGCTAAAGTTAATATAAAGTTAAATTAAATTATTTAAAGTTTTGCTAAAGGAAATATTATATTTTTTTTTTCAAAATCTTATAACATCAAATAAATTAGAAAAAAAATAAAATTTAGAATATACTTATTTTAAAATGTATATCAAGATTTGATATACAAACTCTATACACTTGATAAATCAAGATACAACACTACACATATCGATGCGCAATCTATACTTGCCATATCCAAGAAGTAAGAGTATGGTGTAGTCACATTTTGAATTATGTCATATTGTTTTTAATTGTATTAAGTGTTGAGTTTGTCTATCAAATCTTAATAATAAATTTTAAAGTAAGTATATTCTAAAATTTTTTTTTGTAATTTATATATTATAAAGTTTTTGAAAAAAAAATTGTAATATTTCCTTTAGCATTAACTTTAGCAAAATTTTTTATTTTTATAACGCAAAATTGTTAACATGTCGAATAAATTAATATAAATTTAGCTATGCAATATCTTTTATAATATTAATAATTAGAATAAATATATTTTCTAAGTGTAATTATCCAAATATTAATATAAATAATTTTTAACTTTTTTAAGTCACTATCTGCCATTTTAAGGAGATAAAATGTTGTAAGCTATTACATTCAATAAACCCGGAGGTCGATTATGTATCACACAACTTGGTGAAAATTGCAAAAAATGAGCAAATATACTAGAATATTTATAATTTCATTAGTCAACATCTAGTAAATTTGCTTACTTTTGTAATTTTCACTTAATAATGTAATACAATTAACCCCCTGGCCCTACACAGAACATTTTTCATTACCACTTTCAATCTGTGTAGTTACATCGCCTTACCTCTTACTTCATGCCATATCTAATATAGTTAGTTCGCGTCATTCGGTGAACTTCATCGTGTTTCATGATCCATTTATATTCATAAATTCCGCGTTCAAAATTTCAATATCGAAAGTGCATAATTTAGTGTGGTGAATGATTGTATCTTTGAATTAATCCGTGCAACTGTATTTAATTCTCTCTTTCTCTATCGATATTCATAATCAACGTCGAGAGAAACTGTTTTGATATAAAAGATCATCTCGGATATACTTTCCCACACTCAGAAAAATTGTTTGATTGTACCAACAAGACATATATGATAGAAGGCATTTTGATTAAACCAAGCAAAACTTCTAATTATCACGATAAAACTCGATTTTTTACAACTAGAATGTTTAATAGACTTTACTAAAGATTTGGTATTTTCTAATTAGATCTATAAACCTTCTTACTCTATTAACTAAATATGGACATAGTGATGCCATTTTTTTTAGTATTATCATCAAGAAAAATTATCAGCAAGCAATTAATCATACACATCTGGTAATTCCTAAAGGAACTCTGATTCGTCCATTTTTCAACAGACATATTGGTTGAATCTAGTAGATTTCTAATTAATGCAACCAGATTTTTTTTCCTTAGTATAATTCGACATTTAGTTATCCAATGACAGCACTCATTCCCGCATGCAGAATATAAGGGCTGAGAGAAAAAATGTCGAGGAGGACTGGATTAATCGAAACGAATGATCTCGCTCGTTTGTCTCGTCGCATCGTTTCTCGGAATTTTCGCGCCCCACGCGTCACGCGTAACAATGGCAGAAGTATGGCGGATGGCATGTGCATACGCGAACGATTCCTTTGATATTCGAATAGTTCGATATTCAAATATTTTAATATTCTTTAATAGAGGTGCGTCGATTAACTTGCTTGATCAGCGATCGATATCTCTCGCAAAAATTTCGAATTATCTCGGAAAATTTCGTTCCCAAATATATACATGTACTCATATATGTAATCTGAAAAGAGTGCCGATTAATTATAAATTTTGATTTCGTAGACATTCGCGAGTGTCACAAATGGAGCAAAAAACATCGAGAGATATTAAATTAATCGATGCTGTTCGAATGCTGTTCGTCTATGCAAAGTCTTGTTAAGTGTTTCCGGATTTAATTCTTCTTGTGAAGTATAGAATTATTTCGATATATATTAGAGGGCAAAAATATACTTTACGGCCGATACACAAAAAAAAGAAATGAAAAATGAAAATGTTTTTAAATTATTAGATAATTTTTGGATGATACTATTTTATACTTATTTTTATTTTATAGTATTTATTTTAATATTTATTAATATTTATTAGATAAGATTATTTTAGTATGATTATTTATTAGATAAGATTAATTTCATCAATATTATGAGATAATATTTTAATATTTAAATTGATTTTTTAACAATCAGCAATGAGAATAAAACGTGCGTTGAATAGTGATATTTATGAAATTTCTTAGTCGCTTTGTTAACGTTTGTACGCGTCAGAATATACGTAATTGATTAATGCAAAAAGCTTTCGCTCATCCGGGAGTAAGTACTTTAACTTACGGTACACTTGTGAGGTTTTTCTCCCGTGTGTCTTCTCATGTGTACGACCAGCATATACTGAGCTTTGAAGGGTTTTTCCTCCCTCGAGCATTCCTCCCAACCGCAAACATAGCTCTTCTTGTTGGCGTGTATATGATCGGTGTTGATATGTTTCACCAGATCGTCCTGGTTTAAAGAAAGAAATGCATAAATTAATACGAATAAGAAGCAACATCTTTCATAAGATATCACTGATATCATCTGTCATTTTAATTCTCAAAATAATTGAAGAGATATTTCAATCCCATAAGATTAATCTTGTTTATTAAATTCTTTTTTAAAAATATCTTCGAAGAAAATTACAATATAAAGATTATATTAAGAGATTCCCAGGTAGCAGAATGACGTCAAATAACATCTTATTAACGTTTTAATGACGTCATATAACGTTCAAAATACGTCATTTTGCTACCTGGGTTATAATTATTCATGATGCTTATTAGCATAGAGATAATACATTAATAAATATTAACTGAGATAAAAGATTAGTAGACATTCATAAATTAACAGACTGTTTTTCAGCACATCTATATCACCTGTGTAGGAAACTCGAGACTGCAGTCTCGCCAATGACAATTCGTTTCGATAAAGTCACCAGGTTCGTCTCTGAGGTCTTCGCTCGGACTGAGACCTTGAGGATGGGTCGGTGGGACGGTGGTCGTGGTTGCATTGGTGGTAGTTGTCGCTGGTTCCCTTTTGACTTTGGTGGCGGTCCGTCTTGACGAGGTGTCAGCTTCGGCTGTCACCGAGCGAGTAGATGATTCCGACGCTTTCCTGCATGACTCTACGCTCTGCACATGCAAAAAATGTTACATAAGAAGTACTGTCTATCTTCCATCACAAATACTTGGAATGTAATACTTCTAATTCTAATAGAGCCCTCTCCCTTGTTATTACACACCGAAATATAGCGTAGTTTTCTAATAAACGGTTCGAAATAATTGAATTTGAATTTCAAGCATTTTTTTAAAATTATATCGATTTATCATAAATGAAAATTGCGTCACGTGACAATACACAATTGTCACGCTTATTAAAACGCATTTATTTGATCGGATGCAAAGTACTACAAATCCTTCGTATTGCTTCTCTTTCCCTCTTCCTTTCTTACTTCCTTCTTTACGTACTCTGATACAGACGTAACTACAAATACCTGATTGTGCACGCGTACAGGTTTCTCCTCTGCGCTCCACGTGGATGTATCGCGATTTACTAGCGATACAGGTTGACAGGCGATAAGTATTCAAGTATTATTGGCTAGGCGAAAGCGGATCGATGGAAATCGAAATAGAAATGTAAAATGTTACGTTTCTAATTTTATCGCATTTAATTTTCTGAAGTATAATATTTTATTTTTGCCTCTTTCTGCCATTTAAAAACTAGTTAAATTCTCTGATTCAAAAGTTACTTAAGTGGACTTTACAAAAAAGAAATAATAATAAAAATAGTAAAAATATCGTGTATCGAGTTTTCTGTTCATAACGCGACATATTTCTAGAGAAAAAAGACAACAGATGACATACAGGGTGTCCCATTTGCAATTAAAATTACATTTTTTTTTTTAAACAACTATATTTTTTCTTTAAACCAATTGATTTCTCTCATTATTTTGTACATAAAAAGGTAAGGTAATCGAAAAATGAATATTTTATTAGATATTATATGATTTATGTAAAATTAAGAAATTATTTCAAGTCTCGAAAAATACTCAATGAAGAAATACTTTGTTATAGTGTTTTAGAAAGCTCTCGAGATAAGTTACAAGAATATGTAATAAAAAGTAGATGGTTCCGTTTATGAAATTGACGGTGACCTTCATGTGACCTTCAAATGACTCTCCAAGGTCAAATCATTGCTACCATCTGATGGCTCCCTTCGAGCCATATAACTTTTGTTTGAAACATTTTTTTTATTTAACGCATCGTTTTGGAAATATTTGAGCGTATTATTTAAAATGGGACACCCATTTGTATATAAGTCGTTGATATTCCAACGAATAATTTTTCTATACGTAGCAATTTTGATATGTTACGGCGATAATTTAATTTTGTTCGTTCGGAATTGTTTTCATTACCAGTAAGATTAAGAAATATTGAAATTGTATCCTCCCGTCTTTAATAGGCAATCAGAAACCGGATATAATATATATAATATATATAAGATTTATACCGGATATATATATATATATATATATATATATATATATAATATATATAAGATTTATTTAATTTTATATATCGCGCTTGATTTTCTATAGAGTAAATAAGAATTCTTTTACGTATGTATGCCCATACAGCACAGAAGCTTGCTGCAACGTTGCTGCAATGTTACAATATTCCTCACTGTAGTGTAATGTTGCAGCAATAATGCAGAGACATTATTTTGTAATATTACTTTAGCAATGTTGCAGCAACGTTTTAACGTAGCGAAAATGTATAACATGTGTTTCTTTACTTGCCGCTACGCGGCGACACCCAATTTAACTAACTCGTATTCGAATTCATCTAAGATGGATATAAGGTCTATGGATAAATGTAGGTCTAAAGGATTAATGTAGTAATTATATTTCTTGCCTTGTGTCAGTTTAATTTCTGGCGATAAACTGACTTGATTTACTTAATATTCTGAATCCTAATGAGGGATCTAGATTATTAAACAAATAATTTGTTTAATAATCTGGATCCTTCATTGGGTTTCAGAATATTAAAAAGATTTTTCTTAATTGAATGGGTAAATAGGAAATAATTCATTTATTTAACGTGTTAAAATATTCTGATGTCGAATGTATGTAAAATATTATATGTAATATTATAATATAAATATTGTATGTAATATTATAATATAAATATTGTATGTAATATTATTGAGATAAATATAATATTTAAATATAATATTTAAATATAATATTAAATATAATATTTAAGAAACATCTAATAAACATCTAATAAAAACATTAATAGATGTTTTTTTAAAAGCATTTTTTCTTATCTTTCTTAAACATTGTTTTATATTTTCAAAGTTTATTTATTAAATTTAAAACGGTGTCTGCATTTGTAGCAAAACGCGTTTTAATATTACAAATACGTTGCACCGTAACATTGCTGCAATATTTCTACAAGCGGACATTTTATCGTTGCTGCAATATTGCAGGAACATTTTGCAACATTTCTGCAATGTTGCAATCTTGCAAAGAAATATTTCTGCAATGTTGCTGCAATATTTCTGTGCCGTATGGGTGCGTAGCTATGAGGCACGAGCGCGACGCGACGACAAGAACGGAACACGACCACAAAGAGCAGACTGCAAGTCGATGCAAATCATACCCGTAAACTTTACACAGTGCAGACGCGAGCGTGCGTCGCTAGAACGGGGATAGAAGATGAAAACTACGTCAGCATGCGCGCGGATGCAAATAAATCTGTGCGAGGCCCAGTCGCGACGATGGCGGTGAAGAGGGAAGAACAAAGACGAGGAAGACGATAGTCTAGGGATGAAAGGAGGAGAGGATCGGGAGGCGGGAGAGAAAATAAAAGTGCGTGGGAGGGATAGGAGACGGGGGTGGAATCGAGCGAAATAACGTGCGCGAGATTGCTTGTAACCCGAAGACTCTCGCACGAGAGTAACCCAATCTTTTTCTCCGTCTCTCTTTCTCTCTCCTCTCATCTATCTTCGTTGCTCCGCTTTGTCGCCGTCGTGGTAAGCGAAGGCGGGCGATACGTGCGAAAGGGATAACGAGAGGGGCAGGACACGCGGAGGGGTATGATTATTTATTCCCAATGAATATCGATGACGGGCCACCGAGCGTATATCGTACCTCAGCTCGCAATAACGGCTCGAATGGCGTTCTCGATCCAACCGTATTCGCTCTCTCCCTCGCCCTTGCTCTTAACGTCTGCCGCGAGCGCGACGATACATTCGCTGCATCTCGAGATAATCGATCGGGCAAAGTCACGGCCGAAACGTAAAGACTTAATTGCCGGTGCACAACGGGACGGTTACTCATTCTCCTTTCGCTTACCTCGTTCTTCGGGGGCACCCCGACGGCTCCGTGCGGGCTCAGGGTCGTCGACGACGTGGAATGGGGCGGCACGCCGGGATACAATTGCGAATGGGGGGATAGTCCATGGGCATGAGGGTGAGAATGAGGATGCGGCGGCGGCGGCGGGGGCGCAGGCGGCTGCAGGGGGTGCGCGTGAGGTAAGAGCGCCGCTGCGGCCGCGCTCCTCAAGAGATGAGCCTGTAGCTGCTGCAGATGTGGCGTCATACCGGGATGCATGCCCAACGCTGGACTCATAGCTGCGACACAAGACAAGTAGATTAATTATTGACACGTCTTGTTTTTTAATATTATTTATCAGTGTTGGCAAAAAACTTGTTTTTTTTTTTATTTTATACAAAAAACATTGTTTTTTTTGTTTAGAACAATGTTTTTCGTTTTATTTATGTTTTTAAGTAAAGTAAAAACAAACATGTTTTAAACAAAAAAAAGCATGTTTTAAACAAGCAAAAAATACTTAATAGCTTTGATCTGTGTAAATATTTAAATTTTTCGCTAGCGTTAAACTGTAAATAACGTTGCCAAAATTGACAACGCTATTAAAAATATGAATAATAAAATAAAAATGATAAGATGGGTATTATTTTAGCAGAATATTTTTGGATATTAAATAACAATCAATACAGTAAAGATTAGTTAGAAGATATTGACTGACTTTACATTTTACATTTTAGCATTTTAAATTAATAGCAACTCAATCATAACTCATAGCAGGTCAGTAATTCTAAAAAAAAGTTCTAGTTAATAATATTTAATATATAATACTTTGGTTTCTTTCCTATTCTTATTAAGTAATCTCATGCTTAACTCTCAACATAAATTATAAATAAAAGAAAAATAAAAAACCTCAATTCTTCTTTTTAAAAGAAGAACTTTTTTGCCTGCTATGAGTTATGTATACTATTAATTTAAAATGCTAAAATGTAAAATGTAAAGTTAATCAATATTCTTCTAAGTAATCTTTATTGTATTGATTGTTATTTAATATCTAGAAATAAATATTCTGCTAAAATAATTCCCACCTTATCGTTTTTATTTTATTATTTTTATATCTATATGTTACATAAATATAGATAAAAAATTAAAAACACTAAAACAAAAACTTTTTTTGCAACATACACATCTATAAGTTTTTGTTTGTTTTTTATTTTTTTTACAATTTTTTTTCCAAATAATCATATATTTTATTTGCGATATTTTAAACGGTTCTAAACAGTAGTTTAAAACAATTTAAAACAAAACAGTGTCCACTGTTTTAAACAAGTTTTAATCAAACAGTTTTAAACACATTGTTTAAAATATGCCAACCCTGTTATTTATCGATATTTATACGTTATGATCGGAAAGAATATTTTATAGAAATAATAAAATCTGGAGATGAAAATATTCATTTTTAAGGAATAGTTAGATACTAAAAATGCTTGAATATTCAGCGATTGATAGACATGGAATGCTTGATTAAAGTTTTATATAATAGCTCTCGAATATAGTAACAATACGAGAATAGTGGGTAAATATCAAAATCGGACTGTGCATGTCCGTCCTCTTGACAGTCCGAGCACGACACGCCGGACTTCCGGCGTACGTAGACTAAGCTTGCATTTCAATCACGAGCCTCTGGTGGCTATTACAAAATCGTAAAGTAACCGCGAAGAAACTATTATGCTACGCATACATATAATTCGTCAAACAAGCTCGTCTCTTAGATGAATCCGTCGACGCGCGCGAGAACAGAACTTTATAAAAATACTTATATTAATAATACGATATATGTATTAATCATTTATTATTATCATTATTATTGTCGTTGTAATTCCCATGTTTAAATTAAAAATAAAAATGACAAATGATCAGCGAATTTTGACAAATATGATTTCCAGTTATACACGATGTAAATTAGAATAGCGTAGAGAACTTGTGTAGGATGAAAGTAAAATGAATAGGAAAGGATGACGAGAAGCTCGTGCGTAGTTCACAATAGCGTACACAACGAAGGCAAATTTAACGAGCGACTACATCCTGCGGTTATTCAACGATGCAACGCCGACAAACGGCTGGCGTGCCACGCAGCCTGAATTTTAATTCGTTAATTACTTCATTTAATCGCAAATTACCGGGCGCTCTTAACTCACGAGCAAGAGGGCCTTCGCCTATATAATGATTTTGTTTATCGATACCTCGAACTCATTACTGTTTATCTTAAAGAACTTAATTATTAAAGGAACTGTTCAATGTGTACATTCTGTCAAAAAAGTATCGGAAATTGTCGATTTAAACTGCCCGCGCTGGTCGAAGGTATGACAATTTTTTTTCCCAGATTGATACAACTGTCCTTAATTACGATGCCAAGTTTGAGTGGAATCTGTCAACCAGTGTGTTTACAACAGCTGGTTAAGTCAATCGATGTCAGTAGTGCGTGCCGATTTTTACAATGAGTGAAAATATTGAACAAAGAATTTGTCTCAAATTTTGTGTTGCGAGAGGTAGCACACGAACTTAACATGTCCTATGAGTCCGTTCGTTCGATTTTGGTCGATAATTTGGGCATACGATAATGCGCCGTCTCACCGAGCTACGATTGTGTAAGCGATTTTCTCGCTAAAAATTCAACAAATGTACTTGAACAACCACCGTATTCACCAGATTTGGCACCGTGTGACTTCTCAAAACTGAAATTGCCGTTCCGGGGTACCTGTTTGAAACCATAAAACAAAAATCGGCGCATGAACTGAAGGCCATCCCGGAAAGCGCCTATAAGAAATGTTTCGAAGATTGGAAAAAACGATGGCATACATGCGTTGCTTCAAATGGAGCCTACTTTGAAGGCGACCCAATAAATTTTGATGAATAAATGAAATATGTGTATTTTATTTAACAATTCCCGGTACTTTCTTGACAGAATGTATATTTGCCTTTTATCACGAACTGTTTTATCTATCATAATTCGTCACATCTGAATATCTAATACTTGTATCGAATTGAATTTCTCCTTCGAGTTTTCGCCAAAATTTACATAAATATTTAATCATTTACAATTTTTATTCTTAAAAAAAATATATCCATGTGTGTGTAGAGTGTTATGGTGATAATAATAATAATAATAATAATAATAATAATAGTAAGTATCATTAATATATAAATTCTTATAAAATTAAATTTGAAATACATCTACGAGTTTTATTTGCGCGTACAAACTTAGTTTTCCTCATCGGAATTTTATTTAGTTAGTTTCTCTCATAGGAATATTATAAAAAAATAAACAAGTTGTGTACAAAATTGTTTGAGTAATTAGATTCTATTTATCCAATATATTGGAGTTAGAGTAAGAAAAGAGATTCAATCTAATATAAGAAAATTACTTACCAGCTGAGAGATGTCCATAACTTCCACTTGCACTACTACTTCGCGAACCATTCACGATGGATGCTAAACTGTTTGGGCTAAATCGAATCATGCTGTCGATGTCAAATCTATCTGAATATGGCGAACTGCTCAGCGCTCTTTTCCGACTTGCTCTGATTGCCGAGGCTCTCGGGCTTCCTATTCTCGACGATGCTGAAATTAATGTATCAGAATTTAAACACACACGCTTCTGGATGGACAAACATAAAAATAAATTTTAATCATTAAATTTAAATTAATTTTAAATCTCGAATTTTCCATATTATTCACTCGCTATTTCCGTATCAAGACGATTTCCAAAATTTACAATTAATAATTATCACAATAATTATAATTAAATGCTAGTATAGTTTCTCTCAAAACACGCATTTTTAGCATTTGTCGCTGAAGTGTAATGAGTAAAAAGAAGTCAAACGGAAGGAGAAGACCCAGGAACGTTGGGCGTAGCAAGCAGGAAAAAGAGAGAGAGAAAAAGAAAAGGAATCAAGGAGCCCAGGGAGAGGGAGCTGATCTTGCGGCTTGAACGTTTTAGCGGCGATTTGCCTGCGACCGCAGCACAACGATGTAATATACAAACCACTTTCTTAAGAGCGCGGTGGCGGTTCGCTTGTACGTACCATCGTTGGTTACATGGTGGCGGTTATACGCTCTCTCCTTCTTCTCTCGACGCGTCACCTCTCTCTCTTTCTCTCTCTCTTTTTTCCCTCAGATTTCTTGCATTACCTTTGCAGGCAATACCTACGGGATTAAGCCGCGAGTGCTCTCCACCTCGCTTTCGTACTCCTTTTTCTTCCGTTTTATACCTGCTTCTTTCTTTCTCGTCTCTTCCCCTCCTCGCCTCTTATCTAAGGAGCAACGCGATATACAGAAGATGAGCACGAAGAGAATCTACCCTTCTCCTCAATTTCCACTTGGTTGATCGCTCGTTTGCGCACAACGGGTATAGAGTTACTCGCAGTTGTGTGGAACTCCGCTTCTCTTTTTTTGCGAAATCCTCGTCGCGTCATGATCGACCCGCACAAACGATCTCCTCCGCTTTATCTCCCCCTCGTCGATTATGAATTCGGCCACTGATCAGATTTACACTAGGTTGGAACGGCAGCGAAGGGCTCGATTGTCATGCGGTTTTTCCGCACGATCTGAGACGATCGCGTGCTCAATGAGCGATTTATTGATCACTTGCTTTCTCACGGTCTTTCATCTTAGTAAATTATATTTAAAACATTCATAATTATTATTGTATTTAATTAATTGAAATAGAATGATAACACAGGCCGACAAAATTTGGCCAAACCTCAGACCCAAAATATACTTTTCCGAAAGTTTTCGACGCGCTGAGTTTGAATCCGAGGTCAGAATTTCTCTGGTGACACCGGTTTTCGAGATATTCTAACCTAAAAGTGCAAAAATCACGGTTTTTCAAGATATTTGAGATTATGTTACATCGCAAAGTAATTTTTTTTCATGAAACCATTAATGGGATCCGAAAGAACTACTCTTCCTCTTTAAAAAACATTTTGATTCGTCCGGATATCTTTTTTTATCTTTGAGAAATTAAATGTTTAAATTAAGTAGTTTGACATTTTCGGAAATTGAATAGCATCAGGTAAGTACAATATAATGTACGTACACGAAATATACATTTTTAAAGGGTTTTGATGATTCGAAATTTGACATTAGTTTTGCAAATTTAATTTGTCTAAACAATTTGTTTAAACAATTTGTTTAAACAAACTATTGCAAAAATAATATTTTTTAAGAAATAAATGATTGAATCGGATTCTACGGAAACAAGCTCCGGAATAGTAATTCGGTATATTAAAATAAGTTTTGTTATAAACTAATTGATAAACAATCAATCATTTTCCAAATATCTAGAAATAAGTCGAACTACTTAATTTGAACGATTTCTCAAAGATAAAAAAAGATATCCGGACAAATCAAAATGTTTTGTAAAGAAGAAAAGTAGTTCTTTCGAACCCCATTAATGGTTTTATGAAAAAAAATTACCTTGCGATGTAACATAACCTCTAAAATCTCGAAAAACCGTGATTTGGGCACTTTTAGGTTAGAAGATCTCGAAAATCGGAGCCACCAGAGAAATTCTGACCTCGAATTCGAATTCAGCACGTCAAAAACCTTAGGAAAAGTATATTCTGGTTTCTGGGTCTAAATTTTGTCGGCCTGTGTAATTAAAACAGGAGATTTATCTCGAGCAATCAGGATTCTTTCTCATCATCTCGATGGAAGTTTGGTTTTCATCAGAATTAAAGGGGTTGTTCTCGCAATCGTGTCCAGCAATTCTCGCTGAGTTTAATGAATATGCGAACGAGAAACCCTTCTTCTTCTCCGCTCATCAGTCTTATCGTGGTTTCGTTTCCTCGCAAGATGCTAGGTCCCGACATGTTCAATAAGTCCCACAGGCTCTTCTCTTCGCTCCCTCGCGCGTGCAGGTCGAACATGGGATTGAGACATGTAAATTGGTGCAATCGTCCACTCCGATCGGCGCAGCTCCTCCCATATACGGAGGATGCCACGGCGCTATAGTACTTTTCAAACGATGCTCTCCATAGCTCTACTAAAGTATTCGGAATCGAGGCCCGAGCGTTTCAGTTTAAAAAGTTCCAAAACTCATCATTCTTGTAATCAATCTCGTTATCATTCTTCACAAAAAATCGGCAAAAATTCGAATCTTCAATCTTTTAAGAGAAATTTGAGTTTTCAATCTTTTAAGTACGTGTATCAATGTCTTATGATGATTCCAAGAGAAAATTTAAACGTTCGATATTCGCGATATTGTGATTATACAAATACACGCAATTGATAAAACGCGAAAATTTTGCACAACGAAGAAAGCTAGAGAGCTAGAAGAAAAGAAGGAGAGGGCGGGAAGACGAAATGTGAGACAACCTGTAGGGTAGGCGCTAAGGTGTTAATGAGGTCGTGTCGCTCCGAGTCGATTCAATTATGCGGCGGTGGCGGCTAACGAGGCCCCGTTTACCCTTTCGGTCGTCTTTTAGCCTCTCGGCCGCTTAACCAGTCGATCTCCTACCTGCCGGTAGTACATATATGGCTGGCCGCGGCGTACATAACTTAAATCGTGCGAGAGAAATGCGTGGACCGTAGATATTAAAGAAAGACACACATATATTAGAACGTATCTTACCATCGATAGAGAATGGGAATTCGGACGAAGCAAGAGTGCTAGCAGGACCTGTCGCGTGTAATAGATACTCGGGCGCCAAACCACCCAGTCCTGAAAATACAAAAAAAAAAATTATTCATGTATATTCATGATTGTGGCGGACAGACACGAACATCATCTTAGTTTGTCGAGAGGGAAGTAAAGCACGTTGTTACCGGGACGGTAGGTCACGCGCGTTGGATGGAATTCAAAGCCATTTTTGTACGCTGGAAGAGAAACTTCCGGCGGAAATGCGGGTCCCTTTTACGGAGTCTCTAGTCATTCATAGAGAAGAAGAGGAAAAAGGAGAGGAGGGGGCATGTAACGGATAGGACGTATGGTCTACGAACATTTCTATTCGTGCATCCGGATAATTACCGTGTAACGAGGCGTTGGGACTGTGCGTGGAGGCTTGGAGATGGTGGTAAAGATGGTCCATGTAGTTGATCCGATACGCGGGATGCAGGGCCGTATGTTCCGAGAGGGGATGACTTCTGCGTAGGAAATCACCGCCGGAAGTCCCGTTGCCGGCAGATCCACCTCCTCCGCCGCCACCCCCGCCGGCGTTGTTACCGTTGCTACCACTGCCGTTACCGGATGTTCCGATCGCGGTGCTGCCGGATAATCTGAAAAACGTTAAATTAATTAATTAATTAATTAATCAAAGACGTCCCCTCGCGATTTAACAATAAAAGATTCGAATTGTTCGCAGAAATTGTTGAGAAAAAAAAATCAACGATACAAGCCTCACTGTATGAAAACGTATTCTCTAAAAGTGAATCAGTGAAAATATCACTAATTTAAACAGTAAAATAAGATTTCACTGAGAATCAGTGAGTATTTTATCGATTTTCAGTGGAAACGCTTATTTTTTTTTGTTATTTTGACTTATATCTCACTGATTATGGTCAGTTAAAATAAAATTCACTATAAAATCAGTAATCGCTAGTTTGTTCGTTTACTGCTATAATTGCTATTTCTCTCGTATTTAGTTTTAGTCATAAGAATTTTAGTCATAAGAATTATATAAAGTTTGGAAAAAGCGACAGATAAAATTAGAAGTAGAAGAATTACTTCGATTTAATTTCTGAAACAATCTCAATAGAGAGGCTTCAGGTATTAAATTGATCTTATATAAGTCGGACAAATAAATGTCTGACTTAATGAAAATTATGAAGAGATGAATTCTAGTTTAATATTACTGACGATAGAAAAAAATATTACTGATTGAAAGAGTCAAAATTATTAACTAATTCTTTCAATAAAATATCACTGATTTATAATGCTGTACTTATAACTGCTGTAATCAGTGATTATTCACTGATTCACTTTTAGAGAGTAGGTCTCATTAACGAAACATATTTCTGACGAGACGTTTATAATTTACAGCGAAAGGAGGGGGAAGAAAAACATTCTCATTTGACGGATGAAATTACGACACGCTCCGTAGACGCGACAAATGGCGCGTGTCTCTTCGTCAAAGCTTCTATTCGCGTCGCTTCTTGACGCAGACAGGTGTCTTCCGTCAATGGTACGGTTGTATGATCAAAGTATAACTTTGTTCGCGGGGGGATAGAATAATGCGTTTTTGTTTGTCGTCCATACTGAAACGTCATAATGTGCGCGCTCGTTTCGCTTCGAGGAAAGGAGCCGGGATCCGGAGGAGAAACGAGCCGCCATGAGAGAGACGGCGCGTCTCGTTTTGAGTGATGGCAATTCGCCACGCTCGAAACATCGAGAAACGATGCGTGTCTGGTGCCTTCAAAGATTCTCGACGTCCGGGTTATTCCCCATCGGACTCCGCTGCTAACGGGAGTCTCGTGCGAGCAAAATTGCGTCTTCCGAGTACGCGCTTATGTCGCTTGTGTTAAACATTACAATATTAAATCAACGCGCGCGCTTCAAACTTACCGAACCAATGTAACACGGCAACAGGTTCTTCACCTTAACGCTTTAAAGAAGTATAAATTAGGAAGGGATTCCGCTCGCAAAGCGCGAATTGGACAAGCGTTACCGAGATGAATTACTGAGACGACCGAAGGTCGAAGTTACGACGAGGATAAAATCTTCCTCGAGGAGAAGCGGGGTGAAAAAAAATTTCATATTATTGAGAGACAAATATACAAAGATTTTAATTAAGTGACAGGATGATTTATACAATGCACCGCGAATAAGAAAGTAAATAATACCGTGGACGGGAGGGAACAGAAACAGAGGTACGATTGGCGCGTGTCGTAACGTTTTAAGGCAGATTACGATGTTTGAGTCGGTCGCTGTCTAAATATTGGCTCCGCGCTTCCACGAGTTTGCTGAGTAAAGACAACCGGGTCGACTGTTTGACTTTGCTCAGTGTCCACGGATTTTGATTACTGTCTGTTGGCTACCCGTTTACAGTGGTCGGCCGTGTTAAAACGTTTGTCGCGATACTTGTTGACAGGTCGATGGATCTCTCAATTCTGCATCGTTTCCGCGCTTCTACGGACGTTCAAAACTCTATGATACTGTTTATGTAGCGTTAGTTACAATTTATATAAAATTGCATCAAATATTGCACATGGATAAATAACTATAATATTAATACAAGAACATAATTTAAATCGACACTTGCAATTTATTGGTTGGTAATGTATCACTCACAACGTTTCGACCATGGATTTTGGTCCTTATCAAGTGAACTACAAATTATTTCCAGTATTATAAACAATTAGAAAATTGCGGTATTTGGAAATAAAAAGTGAGCAGAAAAAAATATATACATACAGTAAATTAGTTAATTATTATATTGTGAGAAATAAAGAAATCATTGTCAAGATTCCATAATGTCAATCTCTCCCTCAAACACAAAGAGAAAGACTAAACTGACTTTATTAGTCTATCATAAATATTGTTTAGATTTTCAGTCCTTTGTAAGGTCTTTGTCCTTTTGTAAGTTAATAGTGTTGTCAAACTTTTTAGCGACATTCAAGAATTTAACGTTATAATATTAATTGCAATTTATATAAAACTATAGAATCTTATAAGATTGCTCTATCATTCGATTGCGGCGAACGATTGTTTCCATTAGCGATATAAGTATTTCTCGCGAAGCGATTATGGTATGGCAAAAATTAGGGCGCTTTGACAGGCTGCTTAGTAGCAGATCCCATAAAAAAGTCGACTGACAGAGAATCGGGAGGAACTGGGGACACCAATACAATGAAAACATCGTCGACTCTGCCGGATTTGGCACGCTCGTGTTCCTCGTTTTTTTTCGCACCGGGAGAGAAATGGCCGAAAGAAAGACGGAGCTTGAGAATTCTAGGTGGAGGAAAAGAGAAGGAAACTATAGAAGGGAAGAAGAGAGGAGAAAGAGAGAGCAAGCTGCGTCTATTTCCAATCCTGCTGACTGCCAGATGACTCGAGGTATGGTTCTGCCTCTGGTTGCTGTCCTTCCTTCCTTTTCTATTGCTTTCCTCCTTCTTCTTTCGCAGTCTCTGCTTTAAGCGCCTGTCACACTTTGCAAGTTTTTAAAATATCCAAATCGGCGATGTACAAATTTGATCTTTTTCCTCGCCCATAAAAAAAGTGCATATAAAAAGCCTCTAGATACATAAAAATTTTAGACTAAGTTATTTTTTGCAAAAAAATATATTTTTCGAATGTCACATATTTCAGTAGAAAATATTGTTTTTGTTACATTTTTTATCATTTGAAAATTTTCGAGTTATTTTTCCTGGATGATTCGATACTTTAAACGAGCAACGCACAGAAGATGCGTACGGTGAACAATTTTTTTCTTTCCCCCTTTCTCTTTTTTTACGCCTTGTCGTCTGTCTTGTCTTTTCATTCTTCTTTGCTTCTATCTCTCTCCAATCTTTGAAATTCTCTGTCGGGCGCACATCAGTGTCCTTCTTCCACGTCATAGCTTTCCGTCCCTGCCGAAACAGCCCTCACCGACAGATAAAACTCGAGTCGTTAACTCGACACGCCGGAAACCGACGCATCTATCTTTATCTACGACTTGTCCGCCTCGGGAACTCGTGGATCTTCTTGAAATTCTTACGGCCATCGCGCTCGTTTCTTCTCAACGATATTCGGCAATGTCATATTTTCGGTTAAAGGCTTATCAAAATTTCAGGATTATCTTTCGTTTGTAATTTTTAATCCAATATAAGAGCCAAAATTTTATTAAATTATTTATTAATTACACTGGTAAAAAAAAATAATTTTAACTTTTTCCTCTTATAATTTTGCAGTTTTGGGCTTATTTAAGTGTGCTGATTTCGAGTACGACAGTAGTTTTTTTTAACAGCTCTTGTTTTTTAATATTTTTAGACTACCCCCTTTAGACATAACGTTTTTTGAGTTTTACTCGACTCAAAATTACTATTTTTTTAACTTTCGATATGCCTTCGACTCGGAGACGTTGTTTACATAATCCAGATAGTTTTTGTTATATTTGTGGCGAATACATCTTTCAAAAATATCGAAAACCTATTTTGAAGAATTAATATCTTATAAATAAAAAAAGTAGAGCTGATACAACTAAACTAGTATTTTTTTCGTAATCAGTGCCTTAGATATAACCTATAATATATGTTAAATGTCAGAAAAAAATTTGAGTGTTGGCCAGTATTATTAAAGTTCTATTAAATTATTAATACTTATTATTATATTAATAATAAAAATATAATTCGGATAATTTCGTAGTAAGCTAATTTATTCTTTCAAGTGAAAAGTTATTGTAGAATTATTCGCATAGCAAAAGTACTTTGAAACTTATAATAGTCTTAGAAATATCGGATATATGAAGATCTCTAGAAGCTTTGTCGACGATAATTTGGCGATCGCTGGCAGACACGCGACGTCTCGGTTGTTTTAATCTCGTGAGGCAGAAGGAGGAAGAGAAGGAGAAGAGGGAACGACGGAGCCGGGTGAAGAATTAAGGTTCGCAAGCTCATTAACGTGACTCGTGGTAATGAGGCGAGCTAAGCGGTGCCCGGGAACATCTGCCCGGTTTCCCTGCTGCCCCTCGAAAAAGAAAGACGGAGAGCGCGACGACGAAAAGAAGCTCGTGCAGAGGCCGAAACGGGGCAAAAGGATGCGGCTTAAGCATGAGCCGAAAGCCGATCAGCGCGAAAAGACGAGAGATTTGGTCGTTACCAAACTTTATCCCTCCCTGTACATCGATGTAAGATGACCCTTTATGATTTGCCGAACGAATAATCCCGCGACTCGTCAAAATTGATGATGCCCCATGATGAGAGATTTGTATTAATCTTTGTAATCCTAAGGAATCGCTACTATAACCTGTATTATCGCGCAATCAGCTTAAATGGTTAGGTTAGGTTAGGTTAGGTTAGGTTTTAAATGGTACAATTATTTGTATATTATTATTTGTATATTATCTAAAGTGCAATGATGGACCCTTACGGAAAAGATGAAACATGCGGCGGTTCTATGAGGTTTCAACTTATGATATTTATTGCTGTGCCTTGCCGAACGCGTAGTGTTGCGATGATAAAGAAAGGGAAGGAAACCATATGGCGGATTCTGCACAGCAGCTCAAATGAAGGCGCAAAATTGGTGATGCCACATGATGAGAGATTTGTATCAATCTTTGTAATCCTAAGGAATCGCCACTATA